TCCATTTTGTGTGGTGTCTACCCTGGATGTTGCAGAGTCACAAATAAATAAATAATAAAGTCAGTGAAACCTATAAATCTACACATTTCTGAACTTTAGTTTTAAACAATCATAAACAAGTATTACACTGAGGGTTTTTACATTTTCATTTCTTTTCACTATAGAAATAATGTAACAGAATATTGGGCCTGTGATTTTTTTATACTTAAATTTATGAATACATTTGGAGTGAAAATGACATAGCTCTTTCCTACTACTTAATTATGAAGACTTTACAAAGCCATTTCCCAACTTTAGTGGCTGCAGAGAAAATAAATCACTGACAATTATTTATTTTAAAATGAAATTAATGATGATAAGACTAGATTTCCTTATCAATCTATTGATCCTTGTTGGGATAAAATTACCTCAATATCAATTTTAACTGAATTCTCATGCCCAAATTGACAAGATTATGTTACTAAAATTATGTGAGCCATATTGATATTTTTCTCACACAAAAGTGGGTAATTTGGTTGATGACTCTTACTTTAAATGTGTGCCAAAGCAGAGTAACTCAAGTTTATCACAGCACAGAAGTGCTGGGAAAACATACTGTTAGAAAACTGGAAACTTAAGTACAAAATAACTTCTTCTAGGAGGTGGGTAGATATGCTTTCCCCTTTTTTTCCTGCCAAGTAAAATTTAAAACTCTGGACCTTATATACACAATAAATATAAGACTCAGCAGTGGAAAGAAGATGGCAGACTGGCTATGGAGCTTGGGACACAAGAAACAACACACAGTGACAAGTTCCCTGGACTTGCATTTTGCCTTGTATATGCCAAACCTGCAGGAACCAGGAAATACCCGGGTATTAGACAAAATAACCAACAAGAAATCCAACACAATCACAAAAGATGATTCTCTCTAGTCAAAGAACAGACAAGGAAAGGGGCAGCCCCAAAACTTTCAGCTACCAGCTGTTCTACTTCAGCCAAACACCTCAGGAAAAATAGAGTCCCATCCCTACCTGCTCCAGCAAACACCAAGTGGGGAGCCTCGCATCCATCTTCACAGGAAGTGGGGAGACACTCCATCACCCAGTCAGCCCTGCCCTCCCACCCTGTGGTCAGACCAGGCTGAGGCAGGAAAGCCTGCATCGCGAGCAGTTCCCACCCTGAAGCTGTGACATGGAGCCCACGGGGAAGCCTGGCTTCCACTCCTCACTCCAACAAAACTCCAAACCTGACAGAAGAGGAGGGCAACGTAGCAGCCCGAACACAGAACTCACGAAAGCAACAGAGGATTAAAAAGGCAAGAGAATAAAGATAAAGAAAATATGAGGCAGTTACAATTAGAAATAATGGAGCTGAGAAAAACGAGAGCTGAATTAAGAGATACAATTGAGAGCCTCAACGGCAGACACAGAGAGAATTAATGAGCTTGAAAACATTGTTGGAGAACAAACAGATGGAACAACAGGAAAGAAGCTTAAAAAATGAAAATGGTGTAGATCCCATTGGGATAACTTAAAGAGAAATAACATTTACATCATGTGGGTCCAGCAAAAGAGAAAGAAAACAGCATAGATGAATTACTTAAAGAAACAATTGCTGAAAAACATCTCACTCTTAAGAAATGAACCAAACGTTCTGATCCAAGAGGCCCAAGGAGTTCCAAACAAAATAATACCAAACAGACATACTCCAAAGGATGATAAAACTACTGAAAGCCAACAAGGACAGAATACTCAGAACTTTAAGAGAAATGGACACCAATCATTGGGTCAGTAGACTCAGTTTTTCAGTAGACATTAACTATTTTTGGTGACTCGGCTCTTATGGCAAAGGAATTAAAAATAAATATTGGGATTACCTCAAATTAAAAAGCTTCTATACAGCAGACGAAAATGTAAAAATATAAATATAAAATATAAATGTATATATTTATATTTTAAAAATATAAACACACATGCTACTGACTGGGAGAAAATATTCACACCATATATAAATGATAATATATTCAATACATCTATATTCAAAATATAAAAAACTTACACAATTCAACAATAAAAAGAACAAACAACCCAATTAGTAAGTGGGCTGCTGGTAATATACAGAGGCTAGCCAGAAGGCCAGAGGAATATGAAAAAATGTCCATTATTAATGTGATTAGTAATGATAATCACTTCTGACAAGAGAGATGCAGGTTAAAACCATAATGAGAGACCATGTCACACCTGTGAAAATGGTACTTAAATAACCGGCAAGTGCTGGAGACGAGCACTGTAGCAGGAACTCTACTCCACTACTGGCGGGAATGTAAACGGGTACAACCGTGATAGAAAGGGACCTGGATTTACCTTAAAAAACTAAAATCAGAAATACCATAGGACCCCCTAATACCACTCTTGGTTATATATCCAAAGAATAGGAAACCATCAACACAAAACCCGGATGTTCCACAATATTCATAGCAACATTATCTGTAATAGCTGGGACATGTACAATAGATGATTGTGTTAAGTAGATGTGGTGTGACCATGTTGTGGAGTATTATATAACTGTGAAAAGGATGAAATACAGTAATTTTCAACAAAATGGAGAGAGTTTGAGAT